ATATATATATATATATATATATATATATATATATATATATATATATATATATATATATTACAAAATCTGATGAAACACATTTAGCCTACGACGTTTTGTCAATGTATATGTTTAATTTGTATGAGATTAGAAATTATGATAAGTATACACATTCTGACCCTGAATTTTCTTTTAATTTTTTTTTATCAGATATCTTGTTTGCCAGGATAACAGAGAGGTTAGTAGGGGCTATGTTATAGATGTACTTGATAAACCGTCATGGACGAATTGCGACAAATGATGGGTCTCTGTGATAGAATATTAGGTCCAACATTCAGGCCATTGCTAATAAATCATCAATTTTTTCCCTCATTTTAATATTCGTAATAAAGCTTAATTAAACAAACAATTTAATAATGTGTTTTAATTATTTCTGCTATGCACAACCATAAGTGATCAATATAAACGTACAAGTGTTCTGTTTTTTTCCCAATCAGCTGTTTTAATAAAGTTATAGAAGACACATATCTAGACAGGCTACATCACAAAGGTTTTAATGAGGTATAATTATTGGCCTATCCTACGGGGCAGACTGCTATTTCCTAACCTACTCTTACAGCTGAATTAGCTGATAATATTTTAAGCAGGTTAAAAAAAAATACGTACAAACTAAACCAAACACAGATATGATAACAACCCAACCCAACCCAAAGTCCAACCAGGAACCAGTCGACGTTGTTCAAACCAACCCGACCTATGCCGTTCCGTTAAGTGTGACACAGTTATCTAGCAAGTTAAAAGCTGGATTGTCTCTCTTTGTACGCGAAGAAAGTCACAGTCGTCGCCCCTTTCTATCATCCACATCTCAAGACATTGAAGATGAAGTACGCTAAACGCTAAACATAATTCAAATTAATGTGTTGAGTTTGGAAATAAAAATGATTTTTATGGTTAAAAATAGGAAATTGTGTTATTATTTCCATGATTCCTAAACAGTGTTTAACATAAGGTCGACGTAATAGTTCCCCATCATCTGTGATTTTAGGTTATTGAATAGTTCTAGTTCAAATTACTCTTCATTATCTACTGTATTTATTTCACAATAATACACATATGTAAAGAATATTTATAGTATATTAATTAAGTATGCGTCTAAATTATTACCTCCACACATTTTAGGAAATTATGAATATTAATTACGAATATTTATTGCAACAAAATAAATCTGCTATCGCTAAAAAAAAGTCTAAAGATTTTAAAGACATTTTTAACGAATAGAAACTTATTGTTTTTAATAGTTTTATTCTTAACACTGTACACTGTAGGGCATAGATAATGTTTATATTGTTTGATTTATAACATTTGCGAAAATGGCTCGTTTTATGTATTTTGTATTATATGATTATTTTACATTTCAATAACGTTGAATTCGTCACAATTTATCTATAAGTCGAAAACAACGAATAGGTGTATTAACAGTTCTTCATGAAGTAATTTTGTTTAGCTGCAATAAAATTTATGTGGGTAATTTTTATATTCGTCCGTATGTGTCTGTTTTCATCACTTCCAATAATTTTATCTGGCTAATGGGAAAACTCAACTAGTACTAACTCAAGGGAAATAACAAGAAAAACAAAATAAACAGATGAAAATATAAAACAGTTGCTTGTAAATAACTAAAAATAATCCACAAAACCGTTCGTGATTATTTTTCATAATTTTTATGAATATAAATGTGAATGTATTAATGCCTAATATGCTGGGTAAATATTTTTGTTTGTTTGCATCAATAGTGTATAAACATGATGAAAAACCGGAAGGAAATTTGTACTTGTTGGGTTGTTTCATTTTGTTATTTAATCTCTTTGAATCCCATGAGAATCTCAATAGCGATTTTTAAAAATGTGTTTTCTTTAAATACAAATATAAAGTAAAGTTGTAATAATCTCCAAATCTACTTGAAAAATATAATATCAAATGTGCGTAAAGGATTGATTATTAAATTTAAATACGTATTAAAAACAATATTTTAGGGGGGTGGGGGAGGGATAACCCGCCATTAACGATGTTTAAAAATAACATGTGTTCCCTATTGCAATACACCTGTTTCTTTTGAACCACCACACCATCCTTTTTATGATTACCAATTCATATTTATTTTGTGTTTTTCTATTGGACGGTGAACAGCGTGATTACTGTCAATGTTCACTATTGGTTTGATTTGCTAGCGCAGTAGCCAGTGTGGTGCCCAAGGATAGACTAGTCAGTTGAATACTGCCTGAAAAGGTGATGCACCAAAGCTAACATAATACGAATTCAACATCTAGAGTAAACAAAGAGGTGTTTTTGGAGCCTACTCAGCCTACTCAGCCATACCCTTAATCATAAACATGTGTTTAATAAATATTCAGGAATTATATTCAGGGTGAAGATTATGTAATCTTCACCCTGACTATAATTCGTAATAATGTTTTAATACAAAAAAATAGACACAAAATAAAATTGTAAGAATTAAATATAAAGACAAGCACGCTTATTATCAATCGGATTATTGTTATCGGCAGGTCGAGTAGGGGAGGTGGCGGGAGGGCGGTGTGACTCAGTAGCGTAGCGAGGGGGGGGGGGGTGCGGGGGGGGGGGCATATGTCCCCGGACGCCGACCTCATGGGGCGCCAAAATGGGTTGGAAAAATAAATTGAAAGGTTGAGGGGGGTGCAAATCGAAAGTTTGAGGAAGGGGTGCAAATAGAAATCTTGAGGGGGGGGGGGGGGTGCAAAACGAAAGTTTGAGGGGGGGGGGGTGCATTGTCCCCGGGCGCCGGGAAGGATCGCTACGCCTCTGGTGCGACTTCGTTTTCGACAATGTCGGCCAGTAGGTTACGTGCGACTTTATATACATGAGGGAGGGGAGGTGCTCGTTAGCCTGACATCGTTTATGGAAGAAAAAAACCTAATCACTAGAACAACACCAGGTACCCGCCAGGTACCCACCAGGTAACTACCAGGTACCCATCAGGTAACTACCAGGTACCCACCAGGTAACTACCAGGTACCCATCAGGTAACTACCAGGTACCCATCAGGTAACTACCATGTACCCACCATGTAACTACCAGGTACCCACCAAGTACCTCTCAGATACTCACTAAGTACCCATCAGGTACCCACCTGGTACCCACCTGGGCCCCACCTGGTACCCACTAGGTACCACTCAAGTAGCCATTAGGTACTACTCAGGTGCCCACCAGAATGATTAACATAACATTCATTAAAAGTAGAAAAGAAAAACGAATTAAAATTACCCTTTACAACTTGACGGTTCAATGGCAAAAAATCTACATTTGTTCTCCTTCAGGAACCCTGGCATATAAAAGCATACTGCATGTAGTTCTATAGTCAGGTAATCAGCAGAGCTAAGGAAACTCAATGACGTCATACAGACTCTGTTAATGGACCCCAAGTCAATAATTTCGGGTTGTTAGACGTGCGCCCCACCACTCCACCCAGTCCTTATACTGTTCTTACACATTTAGGCAAGACCATTGTCCTTATACTGTTCTTACACATTTAAGCAACACCATTGTCCTTATACTGTTCTTACACATTTAGGCAACAACATTATTTTGTAAATACAAATTAAATATAATGTCATATATATACTTCTAACTCTCTATACCCCGTCATAAAATTACATAACCACTACGCATTAAAGAGAGAGAACTCTATATTTACAAAACGCTGAGCTTATAACTAATGTGTAAATATTTCTTTGAATTTAACTTCCTCGTTGATAAAACTTCGGGCACCTGACAAAAATTATTAACAATAAATATAATGTATTTTGATCGCTGATATAACTTTATTCAAGACACGTCAGTTTCAGCATACATTTTTATTACTGATAACAAATCTTTGTTAAATAAATGGACAACAGACAAACTTGAGTTTTTACAAACAGCGCGTTACGTTAACATGATTTGTTTAAAAATATGAAACGTTTTGCTTCATTTAATCTCTGGGTAATCTCTAGATCTTTCTGTTTATACTGTTTACCATTTGACTTGATACAGACGGCATTCCTCTCTCTCTCTCTCTCTTTATATATATATATATATATATATATATACATATATATATATATATATATATATATATATATATATATATATATATATATATATATATATATATATATATATATATATATATATGGGTTCATCCATAAATGACGACACGCTTTTATTTACGATTTTTACCCCCTCCCCTCCGTCACACGTCGTCACAAAAAGCCAGACCCCCCCCCTAAAATGACGTCACACGTCAGCCTACGACCCTCTTCAAAACTGCCGTTGAATTTTTCTTAAAACATTTATATTTTTCCAAAATCTTGTCAGAACTCTGTCAACATAGAGTATTTTGATCATTTCCTGTTACCATTTATTAAAACCGTTTTCTAAAACGCGAAATAACGGCTAAAACTCGTTTTTTAACATTGCTTGTTTATAATGCAAAAGTGTGACGTCACACCATCTAACTCCCCCCCCCCCTCCCCCTCATCATATACCGTCTCAATATATATATATATATATATATATATATATATATATATATATATATATATATATATATATATATATATATATATATATATATATATATATAAGGTCATTATACATATATTCGTTTTTAAAGAATTAAGTTTTTTATGAAATGTTTACAAATGTATCTGACCAAAGACTTTATTAGGGGTAAGCCGTTGTCACCTGATAATTGAGTTTTAAAATGTATAGCATAGCCTAGCGAATGAAACGAAAGATAGTATTTTATTTTTCTGTAGCAGTAAACACAAAACCAAAACGGCTACTACGTGCACAGTTTTATAATAATGCTATAGCTTGCAACAGAATTTGTTTTTAAAATAAAAACAAACAAACATAAAACGCAAAAAATAAGCAACTAGCAAAAATAAGGGCAAAATTTTCTGCTTTATTAATGTTATAATATATTTAGAGATAGGAACTAAACTAAAAGGAAACAGATCTATGTTAAATAAGTTATGACAATGTTATTAAAATTATTATTTTTATTTTAAAATTATTCTTAAAAATGTAATAAACGGAAACAAGCCTGGAAAAAAATCTAATTTTTTAGTTGTGTATGACCACTTATTAAAAATATTTGAAACAGGTTGGAGGGGGGTGGGGGTGGGCGTTAATTAAAGAAACAAATTATTAACATTTTTTTGGAGAGCGCCTTCCCCTCTCCCAATTGACTTCTGGTTGCTAAATCGAGATTTTCTAGTCCACAGTGTAAACTTTTTGGGAAATACTATATAAATATAAAATTTAAAAAAGAACAGAATATTCTTGAAAACATTGTCTAAAAAGTTTACTGTGTGTATAAAATACATTAATAAAATTTATGAAATTTTTTTTGAAAAAGTTAAAGAAATTAAAATAAAGGAATATGTATACAAACTATATCATTCTTGAATTAGTAAAATAAAAGCGTAATCACCATCAATTAGAATACTAATAAATTACTACTTTTTGAAAGGAAAACAAACATTTTCAGTGTAAATAATATGGTTAATCACCTAAAACGTTTTTTTGTTGAAAATACATCTTACTTTGTTGCGTCTATTAAAGATAAATTCCTCCTATTCGCATTGCGTTAAATGAAAATAAAAATGTAAAAAAAAAAATGTTTTAATTTTTAAAATGTTATCTTTTCACTCCACGTTAAAAGCAAATGATATTTAATACAGATTTTCAATTTAAATAAAAAGTGTTTTCATTTTTGTATTAGTATTATATTGACGGTTATAGTTTGTGTGTGTTTTAATTAGCAAAATAAATGTCCACCAAAACTTGAAGCAAATGATATTTTTATTCTCTAATGAAGTGTTTAAATTGTTCAAAAAGTTTTTTTTTTGTATTGTTAATATGACGCTCATAATTTTTTGTGTGTTTTAATTAGTAAAATAAATAAATAAAGAAAGAAATAGATTTTCTGTAGTTGTGCATCTTTCTTACAAAGCTTAAAGCTAATGATTATTTAATTATTCGATGAATTCTTTTACAGTTTTCAATAAAAATAAATGGTATTTTTTTTTTAATTGTTGAATTGACTCTCATCGTTTTTTTTTGTGTGATTAATTAGCGAAAAAATAAAAACTGTCTACTGTTATACATCTTTTCCACCAAAGCTTAAAGCAAATAATTATTTATTCTTTGATGAGCTTTTTACAGTTTTCGAAAACATTTTTTTATGCATTGTAATATTGCGGTTCATCATTTTTGATATTTTGATTAACACAAATATTTATCTTTTGTTGTAAGCTTTAAATGAGGCAACAGTTCATCTGTTGAGTTTGTAATTGAAGTGAGCGTCAAAGTTTCCGTCGTCTGATTTCGCAGTTGAGAGAGGGTAAATTGCGAGTTTAAGCCGGGACTTCACACATGTAGCCCAACACAAAGTCGTCATCGAAGTAGTTGCACTTGTCATCGCACATCAGGAAGTCGGAGTTGCCCCACAGGTACATGCAGTTGGCGGCGGTGCCTTGGTTGGGTTGGCCGCTTGTCCACCTGACGTAGCCGAGAGCTCTTTTGCTGTGCCTGTTGGTCCAGGTCCCCTCATGGCCTTCGTCCGTTCCCCCGGTCAGGATCAGATTGTAGTGTGATGTTGTTCTGATGAACCCTCGGACAAAGTAAAGCTCCTGTTCCGTATCGATTTCGACGAGGTAACCCCCGAAAAACTCACACACAGCTTGACTTGAAGACGGGTCGATTGAAGCTAATCGACCTGATAAAAGGTATCGATGGCCGTTGTGAATATTTGAAATTGTAAACATCGATGTTTTAACCTGATCCATTCGTTGGTTGTAATTATTTTTAAACAGCTTTAATTCTTCAGACTCTGCTTGCAAGGTTCGGATCTTAGCATTGCTTTGTTCCAATTTTACCGAAGCGTTTCGTGACTCCGCTTGCAAGTTTCGTATTTTAGCATTCATTTCTTCTATCTGAATTGAATCGCGTTGTGACTTCTCTTGCAAGATCTGGATTTTAGCATTCATTAGTTCCATTTGCACTGAAGCACTTTGCAGATCCGCAGCGACTTTATCCGTTTCCGGGTGATCAATGGATACCAGAGCTATCCTGTTTTCAACAAAATGGTGACCGCTTGTATCCATACCATGAGCCTCGCATTTATACATCCCGGTTTTATTTAGATTCGGGAATTCCCAGTTCAGACTTAAGTAAGAACTACCCGTGTTGTTGATTTTACCGGCAATGACAGCGTTCCCCAGGTGAGTTGTGTTGAGGGGGGAAGGCGCGTTAAACGATGTGATGGAGACGAGTTCTACGTAGCCCACGTGATGAGACACGTCGGAGTAGGACATGATGATGGACATGAGGCTGGACATGTTCAGCCGCTGGGTGGCCGAGATGTTACAGCTCACGCTTAAAGATCTCGTCACACCGAGCTGGATGGTTGGAGGTTCGAGTACAACTTGGAACGGCTCAAGCGAAAAAACTAAAAAAAAAGAAAAAAAAAGAAAATTAAATATGGTGATAAAACCAACTAAAATATTATACACATTTTCCAAATATAACCTGATATTATAATATAATAGACAGTAAACTAAAAAATTCAAAGGGGTTGTTGATTAATATGTGAAATAATCCTTAAAACAGAATTTAAACAATTAATTTATGGGGCCCTAAATCTCTTAATGCTAATTAATTTTTATAAGAATTGTTGAACGAATACAATGTAAAGATGAACCTGCAAACGCCATAATAGTCTAACTCGTTTTTAATGTATAACCTGATATAATACTATGATAGCATGCTAACATAAAACTGCACAGTGTTTGTTAATTAGTAGGTGAAAATAATCCAAAATACACAACACAAGTAATTTATTGGGCCCTAAATCTGTCTGTTTTCATTAATTCTTAAAAGAACTGGTGAAAGATATCAATATAAAGATATACCTGCAATGACCATACTAGTCAGGGTAGACAGAGTGACCCAAAGCCTCGCCATTGTTGAAGCTTTACAGGAGCTAATGGCTCTGGTGCCACTAGTTTCGTCTGTCTAAAATAAAATCTTCAATCTTTTGGTTTTTATACACATCGCACTTCCTATTAGGAGATTTGATTTTCTCGGGAAATAATAATCTTGAAATCTTTGGTCTAATACTGTTTCAGGGCGTATAGAAAAAGTAAGATTGTGTTTTTGATTGAGTTGTATCGATCGGTTTGGTACAGTTTGCTTTTGTATTGAGTTTTTAGCTTTATGTTTGTATACGTTTTAGTGTGTGTATGTGTGTGTGTGTGTGTGTGTGTGTGGTCTGGGATAAAGCAAAATACTTCATGATAAAAAAAAGGAAATAGTTTGGTCACCTGCCTTTACATGGTTATTTATCTTTGAGTCGACTCAGCTATAAAGGGTACCTGACGTGCGTATGCAGGAATTCCTTGTTTAACGATCGTTCTGATTGGTGGGTCTTGTCATGTGGTCAAAGGCTTAACGTACGATTTAAATACCAAATAAGGAAATAACATTTATATCAATGCTCTATTTTGGATTTGTCTTTTAGTCTACTAAGTTAAAATCAATACGCCTGAAGTGGATTTCCAGAGAAAATGCATAACTTACGACCGATTGAATTTTAAAAAAAAATGCTATGCAGAGGTATGCGTGCGATTAGTAATGGGGTGACTACTCAGAGAAAATTAATGCAAATTTCCCTCCCCTGTCTATCTCAGAGAGTTTTATTTTCTGACAAATACACAAGCAACTTTTCTAAAGTATGAATGTGATATTTTTAGAGTTATGATTTACTGTATCAATTATTTTTTTTTACCCTAAATCGTCATCTTTGTTTACTATAAATTCTAGTGGTTAGTTTAAAAACCCCATTGTTTGAAAAGAAGAAATTATTACTCCACAATTAGATAGGCCTACGTTTTGACTTGACATTTACTTTGCTATTTAGTTTTTAGATATTATTTGCAGTGTTTCTTCCAATTTTTTTCTCCGGGGGGGGGGGGGGGGGGATATTAAATTTCCAGGGGGGGGGGAGGCAGACTAAAATTTCCAATGGGTAGGGGGCGGACACTGTTAAAAGTATATATTTTCTATATAAATTCCATTTCGTTCGGGGGCGGGGAGGCGGTAGACCTTCTTTTCCCCCGAGGAGATTACTAGACCCTAACACAATATGCTAATCACCACGCCACTGTTTAATGTATGTACCCCCCCTCCCATGTAACAGCATTTGTATTAATATAAAGATTATTTAAAGACGTGTTTTTTTTCAGCACATACGCACAATCATGCGGGTAATAAACAATATAATAATTTAACTCTTCAGCTTCATAGGATAACCACGACTTAGTCAATCTGAAACTGGATGTTGCAATAGTAAAATAGAGTCAACTCCCTTTGTTGAACTGGTAGCTTGCATACTGTGGATAGCATAATTCTCACTGTTGTAGTGGGATGGGGGAGGGGGTGTCCTTTATACAGTGTAAGAACAAATCATGTAGTATGAATGTGGAGTTTTGTTCAATAACAAAGTAGAAAAACCTCTCGTTAATCCCGCGGAATTAAGCTGGCAACTTAGCCGATATATATATATATATATATATATATATATATATATATATATATATATATATATATATATACACGCATCATTTTTGTTATCATGAAAGCTCCTGTACATGTATATCCCCTTACTTTTATCTTTTGCGAGGCTATCTTTGTTCAATGTCAAGAAAGTGTGTGCAGTTGTGTGTGTGAATGTGTATGTGTGTATGTGTGTATGTGTGTATGTGTGTATGTGTGTATGTGTGTTTGTGTGTATGTGTGCATGTGTGTGTGTGTGTGTGTGAATGTGTGTATGTGTGTTCTTTAGAATTTTCTCGATATGATTTTTTGATCGATATGCTTGGATGAGATTTTTTTCTCATCGTTTGTATGAATTGTGAAACTAATACAAATAATCGTTGGTGTGTAGAATGCCTTGTGTTCAGAAGAGTTTTTAGCTGCCCTGATCCAGACTGCTTCTAAACAATTCCTTGCAAAGAAACAAAAACTAAATTATAACCATACAGTACTTACAGTAGAGAGATTGATGTCATCTTATGCACACACTTTTTGTGGTGAATGTATTGTTGACATATGTCATCTTATACAAACATGTTATGTGGTAAATGTATTGTTACCATATGTCTAATACACGCACACTATTTGTTGTGACCACATGCCCTTCTAATATAACCACGTTATGTGTTGTAGACATGTTATATAGCATACACGCGTTGAGTGATGTTCCATATGTTATCTATCCCAATCGTTATGTGTTGAGTGTATTGTAGCCATATGTCTTCTTATACAACAAGTTATGTGTTGAGTGTATTGTAGCCATATGTCATCTTATACACATAAGTACTGAGGTAGAGCCATATTCAGTTGGAGCCATATGATCCTGTGAAATACTCTAGTTATATCAATTGGTCTTTTGTCATCTTGTATACACCATGAGTGTGTTATAGCTCTCAAGTTGTCTAATGAGGGTATAACGGTAATCAGTTTCACATTGTAGGCCTACATGCATGTGATGAAGAATCCGAAAACATGTAGTTGAAAAAATAGTACCAGCAGCAGATTTTATTGAGCCACAACGCAGAAATTAGTTAAATAATGATGTCATTAATTAGTTTTTCATAACTTGAGTTATATCAGCTGTCTGTGATTAGAATTTTAAAATTAAAGCGATATTGTTGACAATATTAAAAAAAAACATATTTCTAAAGAAAACGTGTTTTGGCAATTTATTTTAATTTTATTTTACATAGCAGATACATACAAAATGTTAAGTTTTTAGTTCAATATTATTTTCTAATTGACGTCAGATTTCAATGCGTTTATAAAATTTGCTTTTTTGAATACATTTTTAAAACCATTACTGTGTCTATTTATTTAACCAAAAATAAATAAATAAGTGTACCGCTGTTTATTCTTTGATAGTAAACGAGTGGCCAAAAAATAATGTATCACTTTACAAAAGTACAGCACCGCATCTTGACCAGACAATTGAGTTCCTGGCACCTTTCATTGAAAACACCAACAACAAACATGCCGTCGGGACACCTACACCAACCCTCCTTTTTAAAACATTTCGACATGTCAACATCCGTACAACTACCGTAAGATTCAGGGTGCCGATGCGATTTTACGCACCGCCCTTCTTTAATATTAGCCAGGATGGAATCGTTTCCGGTGCGGTAAAGCCCGGTAAGAAAATACCCCGGCTGGCATTGACTCCAGGTGAAGTCATCCACCAAACTCTTCCACCAGCTTTCGATGACGTATTCCCGCACCTCCGCCCATTTAGATGGCTTGGTGCAGCACCGGACTTTATCCAAGTGCCCGATCTTGTCGAAAGGGAAGCTTGGGTTACTTCTGTAGAAGCCGGAAATCAGGTCGAGCTTGTCACACTTTGAAAGCCCCTCCTTCTCGAAGCTGACGCTCCAATCGACGTCCTTACACTGGGCGCAAACACCGCTCACAAGCACCATATAAACAAGGACTGCACAGTTCCACATTTCTGGAATGTTGACATAGTTCTATTAATAAGTTATCCTATTCTTTTGATAATTTATTAAATGTCTTGCTGGTGGATTTTTTTATACCAGTGTCCGATAATAGAATTTTTGTTTAGAAGAGTGTTAGGTTACTGGTAGTTAACTAAATATACTCATGGCTTGCTAATGTCAATGCTGACCCAAACCCTAACCACAACCCTAGTCCTACAATACGCCTAACCCTAATTCCTAACCATAAAACTACTCGAGATTACAATACTACAAACACCCTAACATACTTATTTTCGGAAGAGTCTATTATCAGTAAATCGGTATATTCAATCATCCGTTTTGCTTTGACGAAAGTAAATGCATGCATAATCTTCGGATTTTGTTTATTTTAGGATTATCCTAAAGCCTTGAGTGTTAGAGAAACACATTTCATTCAAGAGCTTAGGTATCAGTCTGGGGCTTTCAAATGAAATTATGAGTTGTTCTATAAATAGATTCTTCTACTCGTGAGGCCAGCACCGAATTTTTACTCACCAACCTACGTACGGAGTGTAAACATTTTATTCCCTAGAAGATGGGACAGCGTGGTTGGGAAGTAGAGAGCTAGACTGCTAGCCAAAAGGTTACGAGTTCAGATCTCGGACCGCAGATTCGTGACTGCAGAACGTCACTGAGTTCACCCAGCTCTGGTGGGTACCTGTCCCACGTTAGTGAAAGAAAATACGGCAGGGCATAGTGCTGACTAGACCATCCCTTCATACGCCGCGGTCAATAAATATGTGTATTCTACTTCATTAGCCTTGTGAATCTTTAGGTCGGAACACTGAAGCTTTACTTTAGTTTACTTACCAAGTAAATATTATCAACCATACCAAAATTATACATTTACTTTTGTAAAAAAACATAAACTATTTTCTAAGATATTTGGCTTGATTGAAATATTTAATCGCAAGTCCTTAAAATATAGATAGATCTGATGAAATTAGCAATTCGTGTATTTCGTTTTTTTTTAGTTTCAGTAAGTAAAACAATTACATTTTTCAAAATAAAATCACATTCGCACAAAAAAAAAACTAAAGAAACAAAAAACAAAGAAACAAACCACTGTTTACCTGATAGTGTCTTTCAAAGCAACAAATTCCTCTCACGTTGACATAAACTTTTAAAACAGAAACCAGCTCTACTACTGATTACCTGTGTGTTTTACTGCAGTTTAATTAAATATCGCAATGCAATAAATTACTGTAACTGGGCGATTGTCTACTGGGGCATAATTACATGGGCTGGTGTAGTATGGGCGGATATGTAGGACATTAGCTGATAATATTTTTAATACTCATGCGCGTGTTATGTCACTATGAGAAGTGTAGTAACTAGTGAGTTGTTTGTCCTGAACATATTATTTCACCCCCCACAGAATAAGCAAGTTGGTGTCATATTAAATATTTTGTGCTGAGCAGTGGTCGCATTTATCCAACAAATGG